AAAAATAGCCCCAGCTCCAGCAATGCCAGCAGCTGGGATGGATCTGGGGAGGGGGATGCTGGGCAGGGGGCGGCACGGGAGGGCGGGGCGTGCCGGCACCCCGGAGGAGAGGGATCCTCCATCAGGGCAAGGGCCGGGGCCGCCCCTCCCAGCCCCGTGTCCCGGGGAAAGGAAGGTGTCACCCAGAGCACCCCGGCAGGGTCCGGGGCTCTAGCACGCCCCCGGCCCCCCCTCAGCCCCCCAAGGGGTCTCTTACCAGGATGCTGGTGGGTGGGAGTGGGGGCCACAGAGCCAGGGACGTTCGCCTGGTTCTGAGGTGTCCACCAGGAGACCCAGAAAATTAACCCTAATAAACCAGAATGACGTTTGCAAGTGCGGGGCTGGTTTTGGTGAAAACCGATTTATTTAATGAGCTGTTTGGGTGTGGGGGGCCGGGGCAGCCTCACGGTACTGGCTGCACCCTGAGCCGAGCCCCGGTGGCGGCTCTGCTGCAGCCTCAGAACCCAGGAACTTCTGCTGTGGCTTTGGAAAGGCTGCAGGAAACTGGAGACAGGGAGCCGGTGGTGACCCCCGCCTCTGCTCCCCTTGGCACCCCGGGGGTCCCAGACCGGGTGAGGGGGGTCAGATGAGAAGGGGCGATGCCGTGGGTGCGGGATGTTGTGGGTGGAGGATGCTGTGGGCATGGAGATGCCGAGGGTGCGGGATGCCGTGGGTGCGGGATGCCGAGGGTGCGGGATGCTGTGGGTTGGGTATGCTGTAGGTGTGGGATGGCATGGGTGTGGGATGCCGTGTGTGTGGGATGCCGTGGGTGAGTGATGCTGTGGGTGCAAGATGCTGTGCGTATGGAGATGCTGTGGGTGTGGGTTGCCGTGGGTTGAGGATGCTGTGGGTATGGAGATGTCATGGGTATGGGATATTGTGGGGGTGGAATGCTGTGGGTGTGGGATGCTGTGGGTGTGGGATGCTGTGGGTGTGGGATGTCATGGGTGTGGGATGTCATGGGTGTAAGATGCTGATGCCATGGGTGTGGGATGCTGTGGGTGTGGGATGCCGTGGGTGTGGGATGCCGTGGGTGTGGGAATGCCATGGGTGTGGGATGCTGCGGGTGTGGGATGCTGTTGGTGCGGGATGCTGTGGGTGCAGGATGCTGTGGGTGCAGGATGCTGTGGGTGCGGGATGCTGTGGGTGCGGGATGCTGTGGGTGCGGGATGTCGTGGGTATGGGATGCTGTGGGTGTGGGATGCCGTAGGTATGGGATGCTGTGGGTGTGGGATGTTGTGGGTATGGGATGCCGTGGGTGTGGGATGCTGTGGGTGTGGGATGCCATGGGTGCGTGATGCTGTGGGTGCAGGAATGCCATGGGTGCGGGATGTCCTGGGTGCGGGATGTCGTGGGTATGGGATGCCGTGGGTGTGGGATGCTGTGGGTGCGGGATGCCATGGGCATGGAGATGCTGTGGGCATGGGATGCTGTGGGTGTGGAATGTCATGGGGGTGGGATGCCGTGGGTGTGGGATGCCATGGGTGCGGGAATGCCGTGGGTGCGGGATGCTGCGGGTGCGGGATGCTGCGCGTGTGGGATGCTGCGCGTGTGGGATGCTGTGGGTGTGGGATGCTGTGGGCATGGAGATGCTTTGGGTGTGGGATGCTGTGGGTGTGGAATGTCATGGGTGTGGAATGTCATGGGTGTGGGACGCTGTGGGTATGGAGATGCCATGGGTATGGGATACTGTGGGTGCGGGATGCTGTGGGTGTGGGTTGCCATGGGTGCAGGAATGCCGTGGGTGTGGGAATGCCGTGGGTGTGGGAATGCCGTGGGTGTGGGATGCTGTGGGTGTGGGATGCTGTGGGTGTGGGATGCTGCGAGTGTGGGATGCTGCGGGTGTGGGATACCGTGGGTGCGGGATGCTGTGTGGGTGCGGGATGCTGTGGGTGCGGGATGCTGTGGGTGCGGGATGCTGTGGGTGCGGGATGCTGTGGGTTTGGGATGCTGTGGGTGTGGGATGTTGTGGGTGTGGGATGCCGTGGGTTGGGGATGCTGTGGGTGTGGGATGGCATGAGTGCGTGATGCCGTGGCTGAGGGATACCATGGGTGCGGGATGTGGTGGGTGTGGGATGCTGTGGGCATGGAGATGCTGTGGGTGTGGGATGCTGTGGGTGTGGAATGTCATGGGTGTGGGATGCCGTGGGTGCAGGATGCTGTGGTTGCGGGATGTCCTGGGTGCGGGATGTCGTGCGTATGGGATGCCGTGGGTGTGTGCATGCCAACCCCAGACACTCGTCTGCGTCCCCTCTGGCCCTGGGCACTGGCAAGGGTCCCTTGACGGAATCCCCCAGCTCGAGCAGGGAGCCCTTAGATCGGGCAGGGCAGCCAGGGCAGGAGGAGGCGGAGGGCAGCCAGCGTCCCTCTCCCGAACTCATCCAGGGCTGCTCCTGGCAGCCACAAGCCTCTCTGGTGAAGCCTGCGTCAAAGTGGGGCTGGGAGTGCCAAGCCCCCAGCATGACTCCCTGCCTGCCCGCTTGCCTGCACTCCTGCCAGGTGGCCCAAGCCCCCGAACTGCTCGTGGGGAAGAAGCCACTGTGGGGGGTCCATGGGGTGTTGTTGGGGGAGCACAAGATGGGTGAAGGCTCCCGGGGGGTGGGGGGCAGAGGATCCCCCAGGGATGGGCAGCCCTCTTCTGCCCCGTTTTTGCTCTGAACCGCTGTTCCTCTGAGATTCTTCTCCACTCTGCCCCTGCACCTCTGCCACCGCAGCTGCTGGGCTGGAAGGAGTGGTGGGGGGTGGTGATTTGGGCGACAACGGGGTGCCCTGGCCCCCGTCCTCTGCCGACCTGCATTGAGTAGCCCCCGTGCTGTCCTCGGCCCTGCTGCTTCTGGCAGCTTCCCAGGGACAGATATGGGGTGATGGGGGTCTGGAGGAGGGATGGAGTGGGGAGAATCGACACAGCCCGGGTGTGCCAGAGTGGGGAGCAGGGAGATTGGTGTCCTTCGGAGCATCCCTGTGTCTGTCACAGGGGAGGCTGGAAGGAAACTTTCTGTCCCTCAGGCAGGTTCTTCTGGAGGGAGCTGTGGTCCCCCTGACAATGGAGCAAGAGGAGAAGCTGTTTGGGGGGGATCCTCAGGACGTGAGGTTCCAGGGGGTGCCCAAAACCTGTGGCACAGGTGAGGCTGCTGAAAGCTCCCGCGGGGACGTGACTGCCCTGGCACTGTGGGGACTTTGCAGCCCCCCCCAGGGTCTGGACCACCCAGGGCTGAGCTGCCACATCCCATGGAGTTCCCCCTGCCCACGAGGGAGGGTCTGTGCCCCTGAGCTGGGCATGGGGCTGCAGAGGGAGCGTGGAGCTGGTGTGGTGCTGGGCTGCCAGTGCTGTCCGGGAATACAAGAGCAGCTTTGTCTTCCTCAGGAAAGGGCTGGGCTGGCGTGAAGTGTGAGACTGTGGTGAAAACTGAACCGGAGGATGAGTCCTACACCCTGTACTCCCAGGGCCTGGGTGCCACTGTCCCCAGTGTCCCCAGCACCGGTGAGCGACCGCAGAGTGCATGGCTAGGGGAGGGCTGGGAGCTCAGTGAGACCTACAGCCCCCTGGCATCCAGTCCCCTGTCCCATAATGACTGTTCTGGGTGACATCCCATATTGACTGTTCCAGGTGATGTCCTTGCAGGGACATGGGAAAGTCCATTGTGCCGGGGAGCTTTTCTGGAACAGCATGTGCCCAGTGCCATTTGGTAACTGGGAATTCCCTCCTGGAGGAGAAAGAGTGATTCTTTTTATTCCGTAACAAATATTTAATATCTCTGGGTGTTTCGGATATCTGCGGTTCTGTGACTCTTTCCTGAGGGATTCGGTGTCCTGGCACTGGGAGATGCCCAGTGGTCGCAGTGAGCTCCTAGGATTAAAGCATGGTGAGCTGGAGCCAGAGCCGGTGCCGGCACAGGCAGAGCGTAGGGACATCCCTGAGCACTCGGTCTGTCCCCAAGCCGGACACATGGGCTGTGCCTTTCCTCCCCCAGGCATCAAAGAGGAGATTGTGATTAAGAGCGAGCCGGAGGATGAGGCGTACGGTGGTTACCACGCTGGCTCCGGGGATGGAGATGTGCCCCCCCACCCAACTGCCTGTAAGTGGGGCAGGGAGCTGGGGGGCCGGGGGGATGGTGACACTGTCCCATGCTACCCTGGGGACAGTGAGGCAGCACTGTGCTCTGCCTGCAGGTGATGCCAAGCCTGAGCTCATCGTGAAGGTGGAGCCGGAGGAGGAGCCGTTCATTGGGTGTGCCCCGGGGCTGGGTCACCCAGGGGGTCCCGGCCACTGCGGCAGCACAGGTGAGCACCAGGACGAGGCATGGAGACAAGTGTCTGGGCTCGCTAGGCACCATTCCCTCCTTATGGTGGGAGGAGGAGGAGGAAGCCCAAACCCTTGGCATGGACCTTCTGGTGTTTGCCACCGAAGATGCTGAGCCGCTGGTGGGCAGCACACCGAGGCAGGTGTGGTGCTGAGCTGGGCCACTGCAAAAGCCGGGGGCTGGTAGTCATGGCGCTGGTGATAAGTGATGCCAATTGTGGCTGCAGGATGGGGTTTCCCCTTTTTGCAGCTTTATTTGGCTCTTCAGTGTTTCTCAGGGTGTGGTGTGTCCCCACCACCAGCCCGGCTCACATGTGGTTTGCCATGTCCGTGCTCTTCCTGCCAGTCCCGGCTGTAACTCTGCCATGAACTGCCTGTGGGGAGGTGATGGGCAGGTGGAGGTGGCTGTATGGGTCCCACTGCTGCCTTGTGGGTCCTACTGGAGCCTCCCAGCCTCTGGAGCAAAGCCAGGGCTGCCTGGTGAGCCTGGGGCAGCCTTGCCACCAGTTTTTGGTGCTCAGAGGAGTGACTGTCCCTGGGGCTCCACCTGACAACATTCCTGTGGCCCCCATACTCCCTCTCCTCCTCCCAACCACGTTCCTGGTGGAAAGCCTCAAGGAGGGACCCACCAGTGCAGGGGGGTGAATGCAGCTTGAGGGGTCTCCTGGCAGGTAACAGCGGGACTCCCCCTCTCTTGGCAGATGGCGATGGTGAGGAGTGTCCCAAGGAGGAGCTGGAGGAGGTGAAACTGGAGGAGAAAAGCCTGGGGGCTGCCTCGGGGCTGTCCTTGGGACCTCGGCCCTGCATCAGCCAGTGGACAGTGCGGCAGGCACAGGGCACTGTGGCCGAGCTCCAGCGCAGCCCAGCAATGCCCGGGGGGCTCTGCCAGGAGAAGGGCACAGCTCTGGCAGTGCCAGTGGGCAGCGCTGGGCAGAACCCCACTTCTGCCTGCGGGGTGGGCAGCACCGTGGGTCCCGGGGCTGGGCTGGCACGGCGTCCCCGCAGCCACGGCACTGAGCGTCCCTTCGCATGCAGCGAGTGCGGGAAGAGCTTCCAGCACCGGGGAAACCTCATCACCCACCTGCGGGTGCACACTGGGGAGAAGCCTTTCGCCTGCACTGTCTGTGGCAAGAGCTTCAGCCAAAAGGGCGACCTGATGCGGCACCAGCGCATCCACACTGGCGAGAAGCCGTTCGAGTGCACCGTCTGTGGCAAGAGCTTCTGCTCCAAGCAGACCTTCATCCTGCATCAGCGCATCCACACCGGCGAGAAGCCCTTCTCCTGCTCAGAGTGCGGCAAGAGCTTCAACCGCAAGGCCAACTTCATCACCCACCAGAAGATCCACCGTGGCGAGCGCCCCTTCATCTGTGCCGAGTGCGGCAAGGGCTTCTGTGCCAAGAAGACCTTCATCCTCCACCAGAAGATCCACATTGGCGACCGGCCCTTCGGCTGCTCCGAGTGCGGCAAGAGCTTCAGCCGCAACGGCGACCTGACGCGGCACCAGCGCATCCACACCGGCGAGCGGCCCTTCGCCTGCGCCGACTGCGGCAAGTGCTTCAGCCACAACGGCGAGCTGATCAAGCACCAGCGCATCCACACCGGTGAGAAGCCCTTCACCTGCACCGAGTGTGGCAAGAGCTTCAACCGCAAGGGCACCCTCATCACCCACCAGCGCATCCACACCGGCGAGCGGCCCTTCGTCTGCCCCGAGTGCGGCAAGACCTTCAACCTGAAGACCACGCTGATGAAACACAAGCGCATCCACACCGGCGAGCGGCCCTTCACCTGCCTGGAGTGCGGGAAGAGTTTCAAGTACAAGGGCAACCTCCGGACCCACCACCTCACACACACAGTGGAGCGGGTCTACCCCTGCACTGAGTGTGGCAAGGTCTTCAGGCACAAGAAGGAGCTGACGGTGCACCAGGGCCTGCACACAGAGGAGAGGATTCTCTCCTGCTGCCGGGAGGGAGAGTCCTTCAACCCCTTCCTCCCTGCGCACCCGCTCCTCCTCTCCTGCACCCAGCTCCCGGTACCACTGGAAGCCTTCTCTAAGTACAAGTAGGAGGGCTGGTGGCAGCAGGCACAGCTTGGTGTCCTGCCCAGTGTCCTGCCCACAGCACAGCCCTGCCTGGGGTATTACTGGTGGGCCACAGCAGCGACAGGAGGAATGAGACCATGGCCAAAGCCTCAGAGCCACTGCGGGGCTGTCAGCTGATGGGGGCTGGAGCTTTTCGGGCTCCCCTGGGGATGGTGCCAGCTTTCAGCGGTGTTGGAGGGGCCAGTGCTCTGGCCTCGTGCCGGCACCGTTCCCACCCCCGGGTCACGGGGCGCTTTTTCATCCCCCACCCGAGTTGCTGGTCTCATTTGCTGTTTCAGAAACCTGGCAAAAGTGATTTGCAGGGGGAAGATGTGATGACGGAGGTCACCGTGACCCTCCCTGGGTTTTCTGCTCCTGTCCACTCCGCTCCCCGACCCCCATAGCAGAACCCCCCTTGTCTCATGCAGAGGAACCTGGTTCAGCCGCTCGCTGGAAAGGGGCAATGTCGAACCTGAGTCGTCCTTTTTTCCTTGTCCTTATCCCACACAGACACACCTGAGTAGGGGGAGACCCAGAGGCTTGGTGCAGCCCCTGGGCCATGCTGTATGGCTGACCCCAGCTCAGAGCTGGCTCAGCACCCCCTTTTTTTCCCACAGTCCCCATCACAGTTTTACTGAGTTGTGTTTTTGGGATCCTTCCACCCCCAGTGCCTGATGCCTCCTCAGCGTTGATTCCCCCGTCCGGTGCATCCCTCGGTGCTGGCACTGCTCCTGGTGACACCACCAAAGCTGGCAAACAGCTGGAAAAAAACTTTTTTGCATCCTCCCCCTGGTCCTAGCACAGCTCCCAAAGCTCCATTTCATTCTTCTGGGAATTCCTGGCCCCTCAGTCACTCTGTTGGCGTCCTGGACACAGGCTGGTTGGAAGGGACCTTCCTTGACCCCTCTCGGGCACAGTGATCCCCCTGTGGGGTGTCAAACGCCTCCTCACCCGGAACTCGCCTCAGAAAGGGGCTTTGGTGAAAAACAAGTATTTTTTGGGGTGGGCAAAGGGGCGTCTGCAGGGCCTGGGGCAGATCAGGTTGTTCCCTCAGCCGCTGTTTCTGCAGGGGGGGTGTTTTGGGGGGCACCAGGGTTTCCCCAGCTGTAACACTCATTGCTTCCTCGCCTCAGTTTTCCCATCTGTAAAATGGGGGTAATGACACTCACTGTAGCGTGGTGGGAGGGTTAACCCCTTCCTGACAGTGCAGAGCCCTGGGGGGTGGTGAATGCTGCCACGGGGGACCATTACTGCTGCTGGGGGCCGGTGATGGCTTGGATGATATGTGAGAATCCCCCCAACAAGCCATTGAAATGCAGCAGGTGAGGCCCACGTGTGTTTATAGTTCCACTCCGTCCTTTTCTAACCTAGAAACTAATAAAAAGTGCAAATACACGGGAACCCCGTTTTCTAGTACATTTTGCTGCTTCTTCCTGCTCACGTGGGAGCTGTGGGATCCCTCATCCCACCTTACTGGGGGGGTTCTGCTGCCTCCACCTTGCCCAGCACCCAGCACCCACCTGCCCATGACCACAGACCTTGTTGGGAGTGGGTGTGGGCAGGGGGCGAGCACTGGGAGCTGCTGTCACTGTCAGCAGAGCGCTGGCATCTCTCCTGGTTTTGGCTGGAATAGAGGTAATTTTCCTTCTTGGTAGCTCCAACAGTGCTGTGTTTTGGCTTCAGTGAGGGATTTGGTATGAGAAGAATCTTGAGAACACCGATGTTTTCAGTTGCCGCTGAGAAATCAAGGATTCTCCAACTCCCTGTCTCCTGCCCATGTGCAGGTGCACAAGGAGCTGGGAGGGAACAGAGCCAGAGAACCGGGTCCAAACTGGCTGCTGAATATTCCAGATGATGTAACATCATGCTGGGTGTGTGGATGAGGGCTGTCCAGGAAGGGGGTTTTCCAGGATTGCTTCCAGGATTTTGGGTTTGAGAACTTGTTTCTTTCCAGGATCACTAGCTGGGAACAGGCTGTGTGTCAGTCAGTGGGTGGTGAGCAGTTGCACTGTGCATCACTTGTTTGTACTTTCTATGATTGTTTTATTTTATTTCAATTATTAAACTGTTTTTATCTCAACCTACATCTCCCTTTACCTCTTCAATTCTTTTTTCCAGCCCCTGGGCAGGAGGAGAAGGCTGTGTGGTGTTGGGCTGCTGACCAGGCTTAAACCATGACAGCATTGCTGTCACTGGGGAGCTGCCACCGCTGTCACCTGGGAGCCTCCGCACCATCCTACTGCCCTCACCCAGGTGTTTAAGGCCTCTGGGGGTGTTGGAGCTGCCCAGGATGGTCTCAGGGGCACATGCAGGTCCCCTGCATCCCCCTGCTGAGGCCAAGCTGTGGCTGATTCTTCTGGGCTGGCACAGGGCAGCAAGCAGTTCCAGTGTGGGTCAGCATCTTGGGGAGCAAAGATCCAAGCAGGGATCCCCAGCAGCGCTCGGTTGGCTGAAGGGCTCTTCCCCGGCAAAGCCTCTGCCACGGCACCTTCTCCAGCACCAACAGAGATGCTGAAGTGGAGCCAGAGCCTGTCTGGCATCGCTGGTCGCGCCACCAGCACCGTGCAGTGCCCGAGGGCTGAGGGGGATGCGGTGCCCAGCTGTAAGGCCTGGGGTAGGGACAGGGCTTTGCTCGTCGGCAGGGTCTGTCATGGTTTCACCCCAGCAGCAACTGGCTGCGCCCTCGCCATTTTCCCTGGTGGTAAAAGTGAGAAGGAAACTCGTGGGTTGAGATAAAACCAGTTTAATAATGAACAATAAATAATAATTAAAAAAAATAGAATTGTAAGGAAAAGAGAAAGAAAAAAAACCCCAAACAACAGAGAGGAAAATAAACCCCAAGAGAAAAACAAACCCCAAGAAGGACAAGTGATGCAAATGAGAATAATTAACTGCTCACTGGCAACCAAACGATGCCCAGCAGCCCCCTGCCCCCCATCCCCCCCAGCTTTATGGTGCTGAGCACCCAGTGCTGGGGCCCAGGATGTCCCTGCGGTCCCTCGGGGTCCACTCTCCCAGCTATGCCTCTCCAGCCTCTTGTGCTCCCCACAGACTGAATCACTAGCCAGGGCCCACGGGCTGGGGGTGGGGGCAGAGCAAGGCCCCCCAGGACCACGGCTGTGACACCATTGGGGCTGTTCCTGACACCTGTGATGTCCCTCAGCAGGCAAGCTGT